TTTTGTAGTTTTTCGTTTTCAAGCAAAAAACAATTATGCAATTGACAAAATAGGTAGTTATAATGCAAAACCAAGCCAAGGACGAATGAGTCACGTCGACTTCTCAAAGGCAGTCGATTGAGTCCCACATGTCTCGATGCAAAACCAACTCCAGTCATCGGGATTCAAGGGAAACTTCTATGCTGGATTAAGTTATTTTTATCGGAGAAAAAGATTTCGAGTGACAGCAGACTTGAACTAATCTTCTCAGGCACCGGCCTCCATTAGAGATTCTCTAGGCTCTATTTTGAGACCACCGCTGTTCCTGATGTACGTCAGCGTCCCTTCAGACATTCTTGCAAGTTCATTTCTACTTCTTGCCGACGAAATGAAATCCTGGAGTTCTAATCCCAGTGTCCCCTCTAGTGGACGTAGACTCGACAAGGCCGTGGTGGTGGAGAAGGCACTTCCGCTGGTTGAGGATAAGTGCGTCCACATGTCATTTGGAGGAGACTCAGTGAATGCCCTCTTCATGCCGGGTGAGAATGGACCGGAAACAATCACGAGAGTAGATGCCAAATAGGACTCTGGTATCTGGCTTCCACCAAACATGTCCTTCTCACTGCACCATGAGCATTCCCTCAGAAAGCATCCGCCGTCCTGCGGATGATTCGGTGCACCTACTCCCATATTACTCGTAAGGACTTTCGAATACTCTATAGGGCCTACGTCAGAGCGGTTTTTGGGTGTGCCAACCAAGTTGTCTATTCAAGGTGCAGGAAGGACGTGACCCTCATTGTGCGTGCACAGCTAGTCGCTACGGCAATGGTTGTCGGCCTCAAGAACGTGGACTTTGTAATGTGTCTCGTGGTGCTTGACACACCCTGAAGTATCGTCACCTCTGAAGAGACCTATTTTTTACTTATGCCCTGTTTGAACCATGTTTGACCGAAAGGTTTTTACCGTTGGCTCATCAAACACACGGAGGAGGCATGGTAAGAAGTTTTTCAAGCACCGAGCCCACAATGTTATCAGGCAAAAGTATTTCTTATTTCCGGTAGTAGCTGCGTCGAATAACCTTCCTCCGAGAGTTGTTCACGCTCCATTTAGCGCCAGTTCAAGGCACTAATACAACGTTTTTATATGAGTCATTTCGCCAGCAAGATTCTGTCCACGCTGAGAACTTGAAGAGTGGTGCTTCACCGTTTCTCGCTTATCCCTCACATGT